TCGATAAAGTGGAGGATTTGTAGTGGGAGAACCCCCAAAGATGAAGAATTTCGAGAAATTCATGTCTTGATATGGGGTGTACCCCCAAATAGCTAGTTTAATCGGAAAATGGTGATAAACCAGTGGATGCAATGTGGTACCCAATTTTCAACCCAAATTCACTGGCAAGATAACAACCAACAACTTGAAACCAATGGGGAAATGAGTAAATTTGGAAATTGTCTATTGGCAAGCTGTCAACAAAATGGAACATGAATATGATTTTGGGGTATATGTAAATAGTAATTCTGATAATATGAATAGGATGAGTGGGCTTTCTATTTGCAAATCAAACAACAAATCGCAACAAATGGGATTTTTAACTGGAAATTGCTGATTGTTTATTAGCAAATCATCCAAGAAATTGGATATAGATATGCTTTTGAAACATAATCTTACAAGTAGGATATAATACATCCTTTTTGAAGAAATGTTACTGGCAAATTGTCTAACAAATGACATATGAATGTGTATTTCAATTTATTGGCAGATTATATATCCGACAAATGGATTATGAATAGGATGTATTTGGGGAACTTATTGGCATATCATTATCCAATGAATGGGATATGAGTGGCATGTTTGGGATTCTTCTTGGCACATTGTCCAACAAATGGAATATGAATCCCTTTCTTGGAGAGGAATAATATGTTTTGGTACTATCCCCCATATGAGATATACAAACTGAACATTTGGTTTTGCACATGTGTTATTTTTGCAGCCCATGAAAATAAATACAGAAACTCAAAAAAAAGGATTGCAATCAGAAATGAACTTATCAGCTTCAAAATCATCGAACAAATCTCCAACCGTCCAAATCTTTCCAGATATGTTTGTCTGAAAGTAGGATGCCTCTAAATCCCCTGGTGAATCATTGTTTTCAATATAAACATGCCATAAATCGGGAGTATAATCCATCATTTTCAGACCCCCAAAAATCTCGTAAGTTCTTCAATCAAAAAATATCCCAAAGTTATGTCCATTCATATCCCTATGAATGAACATCAACCCAGGATTAATAAATGCCTCGTTTACTAATGGGTGGGTACCATTTATAAAGGAAAATATCACTATTTTCGGAACTCTCCCCATATTAATAAACATTAAATAGTAAATAGTGATATTGTAAATCACTATCAATACAATTAATAAACATCCCTATATTTAAGGGGTTTGATCCATCGTTAACATTAAATGGGTTTCAGACACAGCCAGGCCTTTCCAGCTGCCATCAGCTGCCCGCCCCACCTCGAAAGGCGGAACGTCGGAACTTGAAGCCGCAAGAGGAGACCAAGGTCTCCGCAATGCAGCGGATGGCCGCCTGTGTCCCATGACATAGTGACTATAGTGGTTGGTTGACATGGGAAGGGATGTATGGAGATACAAAGCATGAAATTGTTGGGAGATGGATGTTGGATGTGTTCAAAAGCCATTTGATTGGAGATAAAAGCAAACACATGAGGGAATATCACGATGGAATATCAGCAACAAACTGGGGATATTTGTGGGCTTACCCCACCTGGCATTCCATGACATACTGGGTTTAGAACGGGATTCTCAGGGGATGATGGAATAGCCGAGCTTTTGGATGAGACGGGGAGGAGAACCAAGGATCATCGATCATCAATAGGAGAATGAATCACCAACGAATCACCAACCGTGATTAGTTGGTCTCCCCAAATGGTACCCTCTGGTAAACGTTTACATATATAACTATGGAGAATCACCATTTTTAATGGTAAATCCACTATTTCAATGGTCATTTTCAATAGCAAACTGTAACAGTCATTACCAGAGGGTAGATTAAATGATGGGAAAGTCATTCCCATCAACTATCAACTCAGCAAATCCAGAATATCCCCATCATGTTTATCCCCATGAAATGGTGGATTTTTGGTAACAAAATCCCCAGAAAATCATTGATAAACCAGGATCAACTGGGATGATCAACAGAGGGCGGCCTTCTCCAGCTGTTTATCCAACTTTCGCTCCACTTTCCCCAGCAACTTCTGTCGCAACAGCTCCGGGGGCACGGAGACCACTAGTTCGATGTCCTGTTTTCCAAGCTGGTTGGTGCGTTCGATCCATCCCATGAAAGTGTATGAAATATTTATTTACTTATGTATTTATTTGTGTATATGTATATATATATACACATACAAAATACATGGTTTCACATTTTTAGTCATTGTTGATCAACATTCTAAATATGGTTCAAACATGGCTTCAGACATGAAACCACCGACCAGTTGATCACATGGTGTATACTCCGCAGATCTCATACGATTTTAAACCAGTGACCAGGCAGAAGATGTTGAACCAACTGTCACCCCCTTCCATTGCCACACTGCAAAAATGAGTTTCTTAGTTGCTTAGCAGACACCCCGAGTCCTAGCGGTCCTAGCAAGGATTGAAGCATTAAATAGTACCAAGGTTCCCAGGTCAAAATCTATTCTGCCATGATTTGGATTATGAATAAATTATGAATATCCATTTGCCAACAATTTGATGTGGGCTACAGGGATACGAGGGCTTTGATTCATCCCAACTTGCCAAAATTTTGGTAAAAAAGGTCATTCTTCTGTGAGAAACCGGTATGTTTTGGATTATGAACAAATCTTCTGTCAAAATTGTGGCACTAATGGCCCCCAAAAATTGTGAATTTAATTGTTTCATTATCCATTCTTTGTGGTCGGTTCATTTTGACCCGCACCTGTATAGTTTCAGAACCACACATTGGATTTCATATTCTGGTAGATGATTTAATTGACATATGCACATGGACATGTGTACACGTACATGTACACGGACATATGCATGTACAAATAATGACATGCATATACACAGACATAGATACATACACATAGACACACACACACATACACACATTTTTATACATGCACACGCACCCATCCACATGCATCTGCGCACACACACACACCTACCTGCACATGCACCTGCACGTACCACATACACCTACAGATGCACCTGCAGATACACATAAATACATGTGTATATACATATATATATATATATACATATATATTTACACACACATAAAGATTCGGGGTATGGGTCAATTTCCTTTTCTTTCTTTCCTAATCCAAGTAAATGTCCCAATATGTCCCAATTTTCTCAGCTGTGGCCCGCTCCGGAACAGCCACTCTGAAGGCGCGGCTGCCTTCCAACTCGCCACTCCTTGGGATCAGCTCGGGATAACTGGCCATCCAAAAGGAAATCCAGGCCCTCCACACTTGAGGCCAATTCTTAGCCCTGTAAGTTGCCAACCTACAGCCCCAAGCCCCTTGAAGCCAGTTCTTAGCCCTGTAGGTTGCCAACCTACAGCCCCAAGCCCCTTGAAGCCAGTTCTTAACCCTGTAGGTTGCCAACCTACAGCCCCAAGCCCCTTGAAGCCAGTTCTTAGCCCTGTAGGTTGCCAACCTACAGCCCCAAGCCCCTTGAAGCCAGTTCTTAGCCCTGTAGGTTGCCAACCTACAGCCCCAAGCCCCTTGAAGCCAGTTCTTAGCCCTGTAGGTTGCCAACCTACAGCCCCAAGCCCCTTGAAGCCAGTTCTTAGCCCTGTAGGTTGCCAACCTACAGCCCCAAGCCCCTTGAAGCCAGTTCTTAGCCCTGTAGGTTGCCAACCTACAGCCCCAAGCCCCTTGAAGCCAGTTCTTAGCCCTGTAGGTTGCCAACCTACAGCCCCAAGCCCCTTGAAGCCAGTTCTTAGCCCTGTAGGTTGCCAACCTACAGCCCCAAGCCCCTTGAAGCCAGTTCTTAGCCCTGTAGGTTGCCAACCTACAGCCCCAAGCCCCTTGAAGCCAGTTCTTAGCCCTGTAGGTTGCCAACCTACAGCCCCAAGCCCCTTGAAGCCAGTTCTTAGCCCTGTAGGTTGCCAACCTACAGCCCCAAGCCCCTTGAAGCCAGTTCTTTCTTAGCAACCTACAGCCCCAAGCCCCTTGAAGCCAGTTCTTAGCCCTGTAGGTTACAGCCCCAAGCCCCTTGAACCTACAGGTTGCCCCTTGCCAACCTACAGCCCCAAGCCCCTTGAAGCCAGTTTTTAGCACTGTAGGTTGTCAACCTACAGCCCCAAGCCCCTTGAAGCCAGTTTTTAACCCTGCACCTACAGCCCCAAGCCCCTTGAAGCAAGATTTTAGCCCTGTGGGTTGCCAACCTACAGCCCCAAGCCCCTTGAAGCAAGTTTTTAGCCATGTAGGTTGCCAACCTACAGCCTCAAGCCTGTTTTTAGCCCTGTAGGTTGCCAACCTACAGCCCCAAGCCCCTTGAAGCCAGTTTTTAGCACACCCCCAAGCCCTTGAAACAAGTTTTTAACCGTGTACCTACAGCCCCAAGCCCGTTGAAGCCAGTTCTTAGCCCTGTAGCTTGCCAACCTACAGCCCCAAGCTCCTTGAAGCAAGTTTTTAGCCCTGTAGGTTGCCTTGCCAACCTACAGCCCCAAGCCCCTTGAAGCCAGTTTTTGACCCTGTACCTACAGCCCCAAGCCCCTTGAAGCCAGTTTTTAGCGCTGTAGGTTGCCAACCTACAGCCCCAAGCCCCTTGAAGCCAGTTCTTAGCTCCTGCCCCAAGCCCCTTGAAGCCAGTTTTTAGCCCTGTAGGTTGCCAACCTACAGCGCCAAGCCCCTTGAAGCCAGTTTTTAGCCATGTAGCTTGCCAACCTACAGCCCCAAGCCCCTTGAAGCCAGTTCTTAGCCCTGTAGGTTGCCAACCTACAGCCCCAAGCCCCTTGAAGCCAGTTCTTAGCCCTGTAGGTTGCCAACCTACAGCCCCAAGCCCCTTGAAGCCAGTTTTTAGCACTGTAGGTTGCCAACCTACAGCCCAAGCACCTTGAAACCAGTTTTTAGCACTGTAGGTTGCCAACCTAAAGCCCTTTCCAACCTACAGCCCCAAGCCCTTGAAGCCAGTTCTTAGCCCTGTAGGTCGCCAACCTACAGCCCCAAGCCCCTTGAATCCAGTTTTTAACCCTGTAGGTTGCCAGCCTACAACCCCAAGCCCCCTGAAGCCAGTTTTTACACCTGTAGGTTGCCAACCTACAGCCCCGAGCCCCTTGAAGCCAGTTTTTAGCATTGTAGGTTGCCAACCTACACCCCCAAGCCCCTTGAAGCCAGTTTTTAGCCCTGTAGGTTGCCAACCTACAGCCCCAAGCCCCTTGAAGCCAGTTTTTAGCCATGTAGGTTGCCAACCTACAGCCCCTGGCCCAAGCCCCTTGAAGCCAGTTCTTAGACCTCTAGGTTGCAAATCTACAGCCCCAAGCCCCTTGAAGCCAGTTCTTAGCCCTGTAGGTTGCCAACCTTCAGCCCAAGCCCCTTGAAGCCAGTTTTTAACCCTGTAGGTTGCCAACCTACAGCCCCAAGCCCCTTGAAGCCAGTTTTTAACCCTTGTAGGTTGCCAACCTACAGCCCCAAGCCCCTTGAAGCCAGTTTTTAGCCCTGAAGGTTGCCAACCTACAGCCCCAAGCCCCTTGAAGCCAGTTTTTAGCCCTGCATGTTGCCAACCTACAGCCCCAAGCCCCTTGAAGGCAGTTTTAAGCCCTGTAGTGCTTAGCCACGTAGGTTGCCAACCTGCAGCCCAAGCCCCTTGATGCCAGTTTTTAGCCTTGTAGGTTGCCAACCTACACCCCCAAGCCCCTTGAATCCAGTTTTTAGCCCTGTAGGTTGCCAACCTACACCCCCAAGCCCCTTGGAGCCAGCTTTTAACCCTGCAGCTTGCTTGCCAACCTACAGCCCCAAGCTCCTTGAAGCCAGTTTTTAGCGCTGTAGGTTGCCAACCTACAGCCCCAAGCCAGTTTTTAGCTCTGTAGGTTAACAACCTACAGCCCAAACTTGAAGGCAGTTTTTAGCCCTGTATGTTGCCAACCTACAGCCCCAAGCCGCTTGAAGCCAGTTCTTAGCCGTGTAGGTTGCCAACCTACAGCCACAAGCCCTGGAAGCCAGTTCTTAGCCCTGTAGGTTGCCAACCTACAGCCCCACACTTGAAGCCACTTCTTAGCCCTGTAGGTTGCCAACCTACAGCCCAAGCCCCTTGAAGCCAGTTTTTAGCCCTGTAGGTTTCCAACCTACAGCCCCAAGCCCCTTGCTCCACGTGAGTGGGCCCTCAACCCTTGAAACCAATTCTTAGCCCTCTAGGTTGCCAACCTTAATCCTGTAGGTTGCCAACCTACAGCCCTAAGCCCATTGAAGCCACTTCTTAGCCCTGTAGGTTGCCAACCTACAGCCCCAAGCCCCTTGAAGCCAGTTCTTAGCTCTGTAGGTTCCCATCTCCACCCATGAAGCCAGTTCTTAACCCTGTAGGTCCCTGTGCCCAAAGCTCCCAGTTTGTGCGCCCCACCTCCACCCTTAAAGCCAATTCTTAGCCCTGTAGGCTGCCGCAACCTACAGCCCCAAGCTCCCGGCCAGTGGCCCCATCTCCACCCTTGAAGCCAGTTCTTAGCCCTGTAGGTTGCCAACCTACAGCCCCAAGCCCATTGAATCCAGTTTTTAGCCCTGTAGGTTGCCAACCTACAGCCCCAAACCCATTGAAGCCAGTTTTTAACTCTGTAGGTTGCCAACCTACAGCCCAAGCCCCTTGAAGCCAGCCTTTAGCCCTGTAGGTTGCCAACCTACACCCCCAACCCCTTGAACCCAGTTTTTAGCCCTGTAGGTTGCCAACCTACAGCCCCAAGCCCCTTGAAGCCAGTTCTTAGCCCAACCTTCAGCCCAAGCCCCTTAAAGCCAGTTTTTAACCATGTAGGTTGCCAACCTACAGCCCCAAGCCCCTTGAAGCCAGTTTTTAGCCCTGTAGGTTGCCAACCTACAGCCCCAAGCCCCTTGAAGCCAGTTCTTAGCCCTGTAGGTTGCCAACCTACAGCCCCAAGCCCCTTGAAGCCAGTTCTTAGCCCTGTAGGTTGCCAACCTACAGCCCCAAGCCCCTTGAAGCCAGTTCTTAGCCCTGTAGGTTGCCAACCTACAGCCCCAAGCCCCTTGAAGCCAGTTCTTAGCCCTGTAGGTTGCCAACCTACAGCCCCAAGCCCCTTGAAGCCAGTTCTTAGCCCTGTAGGTTGCCAACCTACAGCCCCAAGCCCCTTGAAGCCAGTTCTTAGCCCTGTAGGTTGCCAACCTACAGCCCCAAGCCCCTTGAAGCCAGTTCTTAGCCCTGTAGGTTGCCAACCTACAGCCCCAAGCCCCTTGAAGCCAGTTCTTAGCCCTGTAGGTTGCCAACCTACAGCCCCAAGCCCTTGAAGCCAGTTCTTAGCCCTGTAGGTTGCCAACCTACAGCCCCAAGCCCCTTGAAGCCAGTTCTTAGCCCTGTAGGTTGCCATTCCAACCCA